CTTTACGTAACCCCGACAAAAAGCCGATCCGGATTGGATACGCTAATTTGCATCGATTATGCATCGTACCCACGACATACATCTCATCGGTTCATACTAAAACTCAATTACATCGGTACCTGTATCGTGTACGCCTCCGCATGTATAGCTTCATTATTATGGAATCGTGATTGAAGGCGTCAATTTTTACACCGTGAGTATTAATTTTTTCTTTCATCAAATGTTCAACTTTGAGTGTGCAGGGATAAAAAAATCGTGCAATGGTAATACCATTAACGTTGAAGATCACTTACATCTGATATCGGTAGCTTAAACGTATCAGTATCATTTATCGAACGATCATTTATTTATGTACACATGCCTTGCATGAATACGTCGGTAACCCTGAAAAGTACATAATACAAGTCAGAAAGTTTTGCTAAAAAAGGCGATCATCAGTTTACTTCTCTCTTCAATATCTCATTCACGTTACTCCCCGTCTTTTTTTCAATGGCTTTGGTTCGATTTTACAATTCGTTTTTACGGAAAGAAAATCAAAAATTAACCCATCTGTTTCAAACTATATTGCAGCTACACTCGATAGTCAGTGGAGATCCAGCCGCGCAATTCTGCATCGGAGCGCATCTTCGCGTCTGTGACGTAATTATCTCGTATTAGCTTAATTAGCCTCGAGCATCAACTGCTTTCTCGTACTATTAATGTTGAGATCTTTCTTCCGCGATCGTACGTTTGCCTGCTTTTCGTACATTCGAAGATTCAATGCACGGTGAGTCGCGCGTCTCTTTCATATGCGCTATTGAAAATCGTTATGAGATTATAACATAATAATTTTCTTTGTCCATTAGGTGTGAGGTTGATTCCGCGTGCCGCTGGTTTCAAAATTTAAGCATAAATTCTTGATTATAGTGCACGCGTAATTGATGTCATTATTATTATTGTAAATTTTCTGCAGCTACACCAATAAACAAGCAGTTAGTACAAACATAGTTTGCAGCATTACGTGAGCGTGAAATGCGTTTTTACATGTAAATATTGGTTGCTGAAATTTTTGAGACAATTGAAGAATGTGAAGTTCATAATTTTAACACGTGAGTAAAGAATATCGATATAAGCAGTCGAGTACTTGAAACTTTCGATACAAATTCACGCTCGCATTTTTATTTGCTGCAAAATTTATTATTACATGACAGCTATATGATCTTGCAGCGTCTAATAAATGACTCGACATGATCACAAATAATACTTCACGGTGAAATATAATCTGTTATATTAATCTGTTACCGATACTTCCAAGAGAAATTAATGTCAAAATAAACGCATTTTTAAAGTTCAAAATATAAGAATAGATGAAAGTAAATTCAGTAAAAAAAAATTGTCGGAAAAAATAAATGTAAATTTTTAAACTATTTTGAGTAATTTTTTCGGAATAATTTTCAACATTTTCTATTAATAAAATAATTGCAGTATGATTTATGTATTAGTCCAATATGGTTTACAAACAACAAAAATCTCAAGTAGTTTTAAGTTTTCCATATTTTATGGAAAGAAGGCGAGGTAAATACGTTACATCTACAGCCTATAATAACCGACTGATTAGTAGTTTCACTTGGCTCACGAGACTTCACTTGCAACGAGCAATCATGCACTCGTGTTGAGTAGCGTTTGCCCTATTCAATGCATCAGTTAACTTTTTTTTCAAATATTTAAAATTATGTGAGCATATGTAAAATATGAAAGAATTGCAGAATACTTTTGTACACTTTTGTATAGTTACTTTTATAGATTGTTAGCAATACATGGATTTACTCGTGATAAAAAGAACAAAACTAAAAAACAATATTCACTAAATAATAAGTTACATCATTTTCATAGAAAAAATTTTTCAGTTCATGGAAGTGTTATTAACCAATCGATACATGCTATTCAATTTTAGGATAAAAAGATCTTCTATGTAATTTTCCTCACATAGCCAAAGTCCATGGGATACTCACACTTATCAAACTCTCAGCTAATAAATAATTGCTTTACTTCCCATGCACCGACGTCGACGAAATTTATGTGGCTTCTTTCGAGCTGCTGCACTTATTGATGCTGCTCATAACGACGATCGTGAAAGTTATGTTTTCATTGATTGATGAAGCAACCGACGCATCGCATGGGCATCGGGTGTAAAAAGTTTATCGGTCCATTGTTGTCAAACAAATCGACGTTATCTGCTTTGGAGCACATTTTTTCGACTATTACTATTTTCTCAGATTACTCCAATTAATTTCAGAGGAGCAAACCCATAATCGAAACTGTCAGCCCATCGATATTATCCTTATTACAAATTACATGCATTCTCGGCAAAACTCATTTCAGCATTAATTTATAATGTAATGTAAACAAAAGAATCGTCGCAATATGATACGGCGCGAGACAATAACCACCATGCGTGTGAATTTCGATTCTTTCGGCAAAAAAACCATACAATAAAATAACAGTGTTCATGCGCAGAGTGTCCTGTTGGAAATAATCAAGGCATAATTGCCTCCTGACGCCGTTTGCGTTGTGTCAACGAAATTGAACGGAGCCCCATTCAACGAGTGCACAAAGAAACCGCTTCAAAAAATACATATTAAGCGAAAAACCATTATTATTTTCCATTCTTTGTCCTTTGAAGGAGGGCAACGATGAAAAAAAACTTGTCCATCCCTACTTGCGCAAGATCTATTATATATTTTAGTACAATCCGATAATCGACGCGTCTAGGACACTCAAAGTATCTCGCGCGCGCGTATACGCATTCTCAATTGCACTGAAAATGATTGGGTGCTAAGTACCTCTACGAGATTGATCATGTAAAGAAAATACGTGTACGAGAGCGACTGCCGCTGCTGCTGACACTGTGACCCTGAAAACGTAATTGTAAGAGCGAAATTGGAATGAAAGCGAGAATATGAAGACAGTCGTTAAAATTCTATACGAGCCGTGTGTGGCGCGTTACAGACGCGAATCGTAATTGATGATACGAGCAGACGCTTCGTGCCGTTAATCGGTGCATTTTTCTCATTTCTAATGATTACGGCTAATTCATCCACCGCAGCGTGTGTGTGTGTGTGTGTATGTGCCTGTCATTGCTCTGATGCTATACAGCAGGTGATGAAATTCCGTAAGAATTTATGTGTGTATATGGGTACTAGCATGCAACAACAATATATACAAATAATGAAATATAATTAGATGTAGCTATTTTCATTTTTTTAATAACTGTATTGATTCTACTAATGAAAACCGTTAATTCTGCGAAAGCATGCATGCACATATTTTCAGCGGAGTCGCGGGGCAAGAGAAAATTTGAATCATTTAATATGGAGAGAGTCAAAGTTCAAGCAAAAAGATATCTTTACATAATATTGAGTAATAGCAATGCATAAAAATTGTAGGCATAACTTTATTTTACATTCTTCGAAATTGCCTATTTAAGCTAGTCTATTGACAGAATTAATTATTAAACGACCAGATTTTTGCATATTTCCGTATTCCAATGTATTGAACAATTTTTATATTTATATTTCAAATGACTACCGTAGAAAGTGTGAAAAAGCCATAAATTATTTAAATCCTTGTTAAAAGCTCATACAATATGTCAACTCCGAATCCTCTGATATTTATTTTACACAGAAGTTGTAATTGCAATGATTTACGCATTAGAAAATAGCGTCTGAAAAATCGATAAATATAATTTTTGTTTAAAAAAACTTGTTGACGCAGCTTTTTTGTGATTTCAGTCATAAATAATAAATGTGTGTAATATAATCACTGCAACAGTACAGATAGGTCATCTTTTCGGCAAGATCTTCTCTAATTTCCACACATTTCCGTCCTGTCAGTTGTGTCCGTTTGCCGAAAAGTCCTGTGATTCCTTATATACGCGCATATCTGCACTAAAGGATGAAGAAATTCATTGAAATCAGCGATGCGAATAAAAAAGTCTCATTGAAATACGCAAATGGTACTTAGGCGATATTTAAATTAGCTATGAAATCAGCGGATATTCAAACTAACTCTGCAAAGTAATCATACATAAACTTTTATGATGTGAAGATTATGCAATAAGTTAGAAATCAGTTATTTAATTAATAATATTTAACCTAACCCGGATCTTTATCTTTCATCAAGACATTATTCAGAAATAAAATAACTTATACTTTTTTGTCGAAACTAAATATTAAATCACTCCAAAAATAGAATCGTCTTCGCAAAACTTGTAATCTGTCGGGGAATTTTGCTCGTCTCTCGTTGCGACACACTTTAACGATTTGGCACGAACCAACACTTGGCCCACATGACTCTCGACGAGTGATAGCATCAAGCAAAATCTCGCAGTCGTTTGAAGTGTGAAAGGATCTTAAAGAACTATGTACCCTCACTTCAATGAATCTTTTGCATTTGTCTGCAGGTTAAACTAAAATTTGTTAAAGTAGCGTACATAAATGCATCAACCTAAATCAGTAAATTAGATGTGGTCCTTTTATTGTTTTATTATGCTGCTATAAATTAATGATGAAATCGTAGATAAGATACCGTTGAAAGAAAACTGGAAACATTGTGTTAATGAAATAAAATTGAAAATTACTAATTTATGGTACATATTATAACAAAACCCTCATTTATTTATTCACATTCTGTACAAACATATTTTACATAAAATTGGTAAATCTACTTTATGTATTACTCACACATCCACATAAAAAATCCTTTAACGCATATATATGTGGTGAAAAATAAGTAAGTAACCGAATTTTCATATTTGAGTATTTCAGAGAGTATTTCATTATGGATTAAATTTTACTCAGTTATTAATTTACCGACACCATACACCTTGTACATTTTCATAAAAATTACATGATCTTGTGTCTTATGCAGAGTTGACTAATTTATAGGTCTTACAATATGGAATATCTTAGTGCCCAATTATAAGGGGAGCATGGAATATCAATAATTTTGATGGTTTACGATTTTATAAATATATAATTATATTTCTTAACTATGGCAGTTATCCAGCCTGATGCCATTGAGTTATTTAACGGTATAAATTCTATAACATTAAAGAGTTATACGTTCTCTATTCTTAATTTCAATATTACATTTTAAATAAAACAGTCATGAATAAAATATATATTAATCATCAATTAAAAATTAAAAATTTAGCGATAAAACGAGCCTGTAACAATGATATTCAAAACATCTATAGCTCAAACATGACTCGTCAATGATTTTCTCTTTCAATCGATAATTTGATAAATTGTGAAGTCCAAAACTTGTTTCAATATAATCTCGTGATTATGGTTAATCGGCGCATACATTTAGGTTTATTACACATATACGATATTACATTTATACATATGCATAATATTTTATGATATAAAAAGAAAAATATTATCGTAGATAGTTAGTCTAACATGGAATATTTCATAATTAACTGTTCAACATTGAGAACAGAACGTAACGAGTCATTTTTAGGAACGAGAAAATACAATTTTCCTCATTTTCAAATGTCCAAGCTCGGAAACACGGAAGAAGGACTATTTCGTATAGCTCGCAGCTTCATCTAGTACGTATTATAGCTCTAAATACATGGTAACTAATTAAAATTCTTTAATAGAAATAAAAATAGATTATAAATGCAAACACATTGGTATACTCAATATGTAATGCCTTAACATATACATCTGGCAAACATTTCAAGCTAATAAATATATTACAAACTTTTTTTTCAGCGGCAGTTCTTAACAGAGCCCTCGAGCTTTTTTTCAAATAATTATAGCTAAAAGTTACTTAATCCGTTTCTGCTGGCCAATAAATTTATCTATTTGATGAAAACATAAGGAGTGAATTGCTGTTTATTAGAATAATAATTAGCACATTCTTCGACGTAATTGAGATTAATGGCATTATATGGACTGTGTGATTCTGTCATTTTATTATCATTAACATTAAATAAATGACAATTCGATATAGCATCTTTGCTGAGTTGGAGTGGATATTATAATTTGTCAATAGATAATAAATAATAAGATGTACTTCTTTTTCGTATATCGATCTATTCGAGTATGCGTACTCTACAATTAAACAGGCTCTTAGCAAAAGATCAATGCTATTCAATTACTCGAACGATTTCAACCCCATTTGGCTGCGATTGTGTAGAGCGACCTGAGCAGGTCGAGGGCTCTACTGTCGGAAATGGTTCCCTCCTCGGTAGATTTAGCTTTTCTATCGGATCTCGGATTATTGTTCGATGCAACCTTAGCGTAGGACGAATTTGACTTGACGGTCGAGGCTTTGAATTTTCTGCCCGATCGACTTCGATAAGTCGTGACTACAGGCTCACCGGGCGTTGTGCTGGTGATCGGCGCCGAAGTGGTGGCCGCAATCGTCGAGGGACTTTTGGCATCTTTGCCGAGAGGCAAGTGCAATTTGCTGATTCCTTTGATCAGCTCTCTCGACTCCTCGGACGTGAACTCGTTCACGGGCAATTTCAGCAGCGCGTTCAAAACTTCCTCCTTTTCCTCTTCCATCGTTTTGTTTTGCGGCCCGTTGCAGTGACTAATCAACAAGAGTACCAGCTGTCTCACCGTCGCGTTGTTGTCCGCCTGCTTCATGACTTTCATCAGCGTATTGGAGCTAGACTCGTTGAGCGAGCCGAACATGTTGTGCGCCATCTGAATCTCGTTCTCGGTTATGTTAAAAATGCTAATTCTAGTGGGTACGTCGGGACTGGTCGGCGGCACCGCGTTGGTCGCTGTTATCGACGACGTTATCGTCGTCGTTATGCTCGATCTAGTAGTATAGGTCGGCGTCGGAGTCGCCGTGTTGTCGTTGCCGGCGAAATTGATGTTCGGCAGCAGAGTGAAGGCCGTGGGCGAGTCGTTGTTGTTGGGCGCCCACTGCCACGGCGTCGACTGGTCGTTGGCGAAGTTCTGCGGCGTCACCGAGTTGCTCGCGTCGTTGGCGAACAGCTCGTCCCTCGGAGCCACCGTTGTGCTTCTGAAATCGATGTTGGACGACGGCTGAGATATTCTTGGCTCGCCGCTGTCCAGGCCTCGATTGATGTGATCGGGATCGATGAACACCGTAGTCTCCCACAATTGAGTCACCGTCGGAGAGGACGTCCAGAGGTGATTATTTTGGTTGTTGTGATTGTTTTTATTGAAGTTGTTCTCATTGTTCGTTTGTTTTTGATTGGACGCAGACTTTACATTCTTGCGTTCGTTGCTGTCAACGCTATTGAAACTGTTTTTGAAATTGGTATTTGAGCTACTCGCTGTAACCAGAGACTCAGCCTTCCTAGGTTTGACCGTCGTAGGATCGTAGTACCTTATCCTGAAGGGCTCTTTAGTCGTTGTTGAAGTAGTAGTAGTAGTGGTACTCGATGTCGTTGTTTCTTGCGGTCTTTTGTACACCGGTGTGACATTGCTACCGGATGTTCCTGTGTTAACGGATTTCGTTTTCGTGGTTGTGCTGATAGGAGCCGTATTAGCGGTACTCGAAACGGAATAGCTCGTCGAGAAAGCAGGCGGTGTTAGAACATCTGACAGTTTGAGATTGGTATCGATGCTAGATTGACTTGGTACGAAATTTTGTGGAGGCGCAATTTCGTAAGTCGCCGGAGTCGAAGATGCCACATAGTTGTCGCTGATGGGAGTGGAATTAGACGGCTTGACATTTTTGCCGTAAGGTGAATAAGTTGTGGCTGAATTATTCTGGAAGCCACCGTACCTGCTTTGCTCGTTGGGTAAATAATTCGAATAATCTTTACCGTTGTTGTAGTCGTTGGATTTGTAATTGATTTTCTTTGAGTCGAAAACAGCGTTACCTCCGTAGGAGAATCTGTTATCAGATTTAGGCTGGGTGTAGCTACTTTGAGCTTCGTTTAACGATTCATCGGGATATGGCGTAGTTCTTGCGAAATAATCTGGAGTATAATATGGCTGGTAAGTAGTTTCATTTGAATCATTCTTAGTAGTTTCCGGAACAACGGTGGTAGTGGTTATCGGTCTTCGCCGTCTGATACCATTGATATCGTCCGAAAAGTCCAAAACCTCGTCTTTTTCTTTAGTCACGGATGGATAATCCTCGGTGGTCGTAGGAATATCGGTAGTGATCTCATTCTCGATATTTTGCGGTTCCGTGGGTCTAATTTCCGTTAGAACTCGCTTGAACGTATCGGGATCTTGCAAGTAAGCCGATAAAGCTTGAGTGAAGACTTGCGCTAACTCTCTTAATTTTGTGTTGTTGGACTTTTTAACTCCGTTCAGTGGGCCTTCGCTTTGTTGAATGTCCAAGTCACTCGAATCTTCGTCCGCAAAGTTCTCGTCGTCGCTCATGTCGTAACTAGTGTCACCGGTGATATTGTTTTCGAGAGCATTATTCAAGTTGAACAATTCGATGTAAGAACTAATGGTATGTTGCGTCAAGATGCTAGTTGGAAGGTCAATAACAGAAGTGTTTTTCTTCTCAATAGGATTGGGAGTTGTTTCAAAGTATTGGAAATTGATGACCGAATCGGTGGGTCCTTCGGTGTTATAATCCTCATCGGTGTTCGCAAAGTACAAAGCCAACGAATGCAAAGTCGATGGTCCAGCCGAGGCCTTAGGTTCGAAGTTATAACTTGTGTTATTGATATTGTTCAAATTCAGGTTGGGAACCGTACCCTCCAACCCTTGCAACGACTTCAACATATTCAACGCGTGCTCTCGTTCCTGCACCGGTCTATTATCGAAGTTGCTCTTCTCGTTCGCATAGGGCGATGAAGTAGTTCTTTCAGGTAGATAAGTAGCTCTATTTCCTGACTTGCCGTAATCGGAGGACACATAATTCTCGGCTTTAGCTCCCACGGGTAAATTCCTGGTCAGCTGATTGAAGTTTTGTTGGAAGCTCGGCCTGGGGGTCGTACTCGTGGTGAAGGCGTAACTCTTGGTGAACGGTACGTATGGGCCGAGGGTCGACAATTCTTTTCCGTGCTGATAAGTGATACTAGTATCGTAAGGACTAGGTGTGCGGCGAGGAACTGTGGAATTGTTGTTGGACCTCTCGGTCGAGGCGGCCACTTGATTCTGTGGGTTATTGACGAATTTGGACGGGGTGTATCTGGCGGTGTCGTCCGCTTGAATGTCATTGACTGCGCCGAAGGCCGTGTTTTCTCGATAAACCGGTCTCGCCGTGGTGAAGGATCCCGAATAATTATCGGTGTATTGAGTGGTGAACTCACCACTGTCGTAATTCGTCGTTATGGTTTCTGGTTTGCTGGTAGTCTCTTTCCTCACGTAAACGGGTCTCTGAGTCATTGGTGCATAGGTCGTGTACCTCTCGCCACTGTCATCGGTCGGAGGTGGATTCGTGTACTTTTCACCGAAGTTCTTGGCAAAATTGAACGGCGAGTATGTCGTTGCAACGTCGGGATAGTTAGTGGAACTTTCGGAATTCCTGTAAGTCGTTCCTTGATCCTGATTATTTTGTCGGAAGTACTCGGTGTTGGTGTACGATCTCAGAGTGGTACTCTGCTGCGCTTCGTCGTTCGATGGAGTGGTCGTTCTTGGTTTATAAATCGGTGCATATGTGGGTCCGGGGAATGGTGGAATGGTCACACGGGAACGAACCAAATTTTGTGGACTAGTTAAAGTGTTTCCAGCTGTAGTGGCCGTCGATTGTTGATTATTCGTCTGCGGTGTCGAGGTTGTGGCTTTGTTGCTGCTCGTGAAGAAGCTATTGTACTGATTGGAATTCGGCGGTCTGAATTTGCCATTGTTGCGGCTGGATACGAAAGCGGCGCTCTCGGCCAAGTGTTGAAATTCTCTAATAGGACTAGCGGTTGACGTACGGAACGTTGTGGCTTCCGTGTAGACTGGCGTGACTTTCTGCACTCCGGCGTTGAAATTTTGCCGAGTAAAAGTTCGAGGTTTGTTGGGCTTGACGGCTTGCTTGTCTTCGCGTTGGGCATTCACATTCGCCGCTGAGCCGTAGTAAACGTCCTCTTGATTGGATTTACCTTGATGATTGTAAAACTTGACTGATTGGACATTTTTGCCGTCGTTTGAGTACAGCTGATTCAATTGCCGATTACTCTGAGCTTTTCTGTAATCCTCCTTGGGTCGGGGGATCGTACTTTCGTCGTAGCGATGATTCGGGTACTGTACTTGACTTCCTGATTTCGAGGCTTGCTTTTCGTAAACGTCGTTATGGTTCTGATTTGACTTGGCATTCTTATCGTTGGACAGTTGATTCTGAGACGCAGATTGGCCGAACGGGTTCGATCTGCCATTTTGACGATCGTCGTAATCCACGTTCTGATGGTAATTGTCGTCGTTGTTTGTCCTGTGGAATTCCGATGTCATCTTCTTCTTCTCGACGCGTTTTCTTTCTTCCTCGGCGAGATACTCGGAACTCTGCTCGTAGAGTTCAGCTGATCTTGCGCAATCCACCTTGAACCACCAGTCGCAAATCAATTGCGACTGTTGAAAGATGGTGCCGTTTGGACATAGGAAGGATATTTTTCGGCCGTTGTCGCATATGTGAAAAACCTAAAAGAAAGCATGAAATTAGTAAATACGATAGACAGAAATTGTATAAATTTTGTAAATAAAATTATATATTTGGCGATCCGTATTTTCATTACTTGACAATTGGTTTCTAAATCAGCGTAGTATCCGCCTCTTTGTCCACGACAGCTGAACGTTGTTGCGGGAATAGTTGTCAACGCTGGATAATCCACTCCGGGTTGGCCAGTGATTTCTAAAATTTTATAATAATGAACCAAAAAGAATTAAAGTATTTTTTAACTACATAAAAAAAGTACTAGCGAGGACGGAAAAAGGTATTCAGTTCTAGGGAGATGATTTTGTAAAAACATGCATGACATATATGTATTAGTATATGATTTATAGATTTGATTTATCATACCCTCGGATGATTTGTTAAACAATTCCTCATCACCAAAAATGACTAGGATTGCCATGAGAGAGAAATGAGAAAAACATTAATTGTCGAGTGCGAAGCATAATTATGCGATATGTATTTTTGTTAGTACGAAAAAAGAAATGAACCTTGTATCTTCAAGTACTCGCCATTTTTGTCCGACGCTAGCCGCTTGACCAGTTTGCTCAGAGCTTTGACATCTTCCACCGATGCTTCTTCGCTAGCCACGTCAAGCTCGGTGAGGAGCTCCGGAAGCCTCGATCTTTCCTCATCGTTGGACGACTGCAAAATCGTACGATAAAAGAAACAAATTATTACAACATAGAAATACCAATTGCGTCAGTCCCCTCCTACACGTATAACATAAACAAAAACTTCGATCGGACATCGTAAAACATCCGAAATTCTACCGAAAGCGAGAGGTAACGAAAAAAAAATCAAGTGCAATACCCTCGCGATTACTCAATCGGTCGGCTGCCGCCGCCGGTGTCATAAAACAGTCGCTGAGCCGATCTCTCGCACGCACCAGCTTTTTCGGAAAATACCTTCGGAAGTATTTCGTGTATCTTTCGAGCGCGCATAGCTGTGCATACATGCGTAAACGTGCTGCACACGCACACACGCGTCGGCGGTGTTACTTTTCGCGCTCTTTCGCACAATTGCTTATAAGTTTAAGAGGGCGCGAGGCGCGTACAACGTCTCTCGTGCGATTCTCGTAGACACAACATTGTTAGCTCACGGAGTTGCGTGAGAAAACTCGCGCCTTTTTTCCCTTGACTGATAGCGATCCGCGCACGCGGCGCCGAGTGTGTCTAGCAGCAGGAGCAGCAGCAGCTCTTTGCCTTGAATGAAAGTTATGCCAGTATATCTATATAAATGCGCGAATATGTGCACCTTTGCTTTGGTCTAATTGAATAGACGCGCTCGCAAGAGGTGTATAATATACGCGAGCAAAAACGATGAATATAATATACGCAGTAGCTCCGAAATATGAAGAAAAAAAAGGCGAAACTTTTCAACGGATTGGATACGGCGCGATTAAAGCAGGAGCGCGAGACATAATGCCTGGGCGCTCGAGAGGTGCTATATAACAAAGTTCGACGCCGTCTATAGTACGCATAGTGAATGGCGTTCCTGGCGAATGGCAACCGGTCGAGCGTCGAATAGCGAACGGTTGTATGCTCCAAGGATTTTCGCCGCTCGGAGTAATGGCTCGCTCAAGTTTTACATCGGGGCTAAAATTGATGGCTCTTAAAAAGTTTGACCAGTTGTAAAATTGGCCTTTTAATTATACATATTATCAGATTGTAACGATCGCTCGAAGCGCTGCGGCTCGAATTTTTGACGACCCAGTAAATTGCGAACTTTATTTTCAATAATAAATGCAATGAATACGGGTAGCAGTGAAGGATCTTACATTAATGGTATAATTTTATTCAAGAGTAAATATTAAAATTTTTCTATAGCCTTTCGCACGAAATTGTGCGGAGTTGGTTTTTTAGGCCAAGATTTCGTAACATGTATTAATTTTACGATATTTGCATTATTAAGAAGGTCGATGAAATTTCATAAAAGATTTTGAAGTTTACGATTATCGGTTCAATTTAAATTTTATGAATGCATTTAGAGCATTATTATATTGAATTTATCGATATAGCTTTATTTAGAAATAATAATCTTTTAGAGACGTAAAAAAGTTTAAGCGCGAGTGATGCAATTTTCTAACAAAAGTTTTCCTATTCTTTACAAGTATTTAGCAAGTGCGAATTAATTTTCAATAATTCAAATAAATACATGAAATATCTTCCCACTATGGGCCAATGCATCGAACTCTGCCGGGAAACAACGCGAATAATAATATAAATAGAAACGTGTATATAATGCAATCTGGTATCTGTGTCGTTGATCTACATTACACGTCGTATACTGTCAAGAGAATGCGCAGAATCAGTTTTGAGGCGCAAAAGGAATATCTGGAGTATACATTTTAATCGGCCCTGCACTGCTCCCGCGCGCGTGGTTACATGTATTTTCCCGAGGTTTGCGTAAACAGCAGCGGCAATAGTAATCCGACATTACTCGCTGCTTCCATGTGTACTTGTTAACAACCGAATGTGTATGGAGTTGGTTACTTTTAAGTATGGGAATCGAGCGGCGGCGGGCCGCGCGGTATTAGTTACAATCCGCATTTCGGTTGACACTCGATATATAAATGCAAGGTATACTTTTGCAAGCAATGCGCTCCCCATATTCATTTTCGGCATCGACCCAAGTTTTCGATAACTTTTTTTCCCCTTTATGTACACGTAATTCTGTTATTACACGTGCGCGTAGTACAGATCCAAAACAGTAACCACGCGTGAAACAAAGTTTGATTAAATCAACATATCACGACGAGAAATTCATGCGCGAGCAAAACCATATGCATATGAATGCTTCAAGCAAAAGAAGAAACTTATTCGCTATATATACAAATCTCCGGCTATGCATCACGTGACACGTACGTATGTGCCACCCACCCGTACACACACATGTAACAAACTATCAAGTTGCATCCCTGCGCACAGAACTTTCCATCGAACTAGCAGCAGCGCCGTATTGCAGTTATATCCGTCGCACGAAAACTCCTGTCTCTGTAACAGTTCGAGCGCGCACGTATATTACATTCACGTTGTAAGGAAGACACACTCGTAGACACACGTGAAATCTCCGTGGACAGGATAGCCATACGAAAAAGCCAACAGCAACAACAATAATAACGTCGTCGATATTGTTATATCAGTAGCAGCTACAGAGAGAGAGAGACGTGCGCGTTATCTACAAAATCTCGCATGCGGTTGTAATGTGTGTGTGTGTGTGTCTGTGTGCCTAACACGTGTTAGATAATTCAATCTGACCCAGCCTGGCGTGAAATATGAGTTTAAGCGATCGTTAAATCGATGCCGGTCACGGCCCGACGATCGCGGTGCGCGCATATCCGACCGCACAGCTACCTACCTATATATATCTATCTATCTACGTATGTATATTCGTTTATCGTTCATACATGTATACGGAAAACTCAAGCGCTCAAATTTATCGTATACGTGCGATCTTCTTGTCAGCTATATATATATATGTAGGTGTGTGGGTTTGTGTTCTACTACGGTCCTTCCTGCGCGGTTCTCGCATCACGCGGAGTTTATACAAAAGGAGAAAGGGTAAAACTATGCGGTGGGCATTTTGTTTTAGGATCCGGAGCACACAGCGCACACACGTTTATATGTGTACACAAACATTTTATATATATATACATGTAGTTGCGCAAGGACGCCCGAAAGTTGCAACGCGGCCCGGTGTATAGTGTGCATCGTTTACCAAAGCATCGCCGAGTCGTTATTGTTTTATATACCCAGCTCGGATTGATCAATAAAATTCCTCCCTTTCCTCTTCGAAATTATAAATTTAAAAAAAACGTTATCATCGACAGTCGCGTGACGCTCGATTAGCGCCCTCTGATCTACCCGTTTCCAATACGGCCCCCTGTTAATTGGATAAATTATTTTTCATATTTTTGCCTTCGTTATCCGTAGAGGAATCGCGCTTCTGGCAAATCGATACATAACAATGTAATGCCCATGCTCGGCGTGTATTTTACAAGGTTATATTTTATTGAACGATTGCGATCTAACACTTAGTACATAAATTCAAAGCGGCTTCGCGCGCCCGCTCGAGCGCTGCAGCTGCACAGCGAAATTCGTGCGTCTAGAAATATATTAAGATATGTACAAGGTAAATCCCCAGTTGCCTCGTCTAGGCAGATCTATCTTGTATGAGGCAGTGGAAGTAGAAATTAAATTAGAATTAAAAGAAAATGATTGAAAAAATGAAAAAACAATAAGCGCCATAAATTGTAGAATTTCTGTGTTAATTTTTTTGATGATAGATAATGATAGAAAATCCTCACAATCTATGTTAATCCAGTGTATGACTCTAGTAAAAATGACTGTTTAAAATGTTCCAAAATATATGAACACGCATTGGCTTTTTTTAGCGATTTTTCTTTTGTAATTATTTTACAAATATGAAGCGTATTTTAAATGACCTTGAAAAAAAAATGTTATTGCTTCAAAAAATATGCATCAGTTTTCCGACACTAAGAAATAGATTTAAGCCCCCACCGCTAGATGGCGAGTGGTCTCATCTGTAAAGCTGCAAGTAACAAAGTAAAAAAATTGTATAACTTGACGCATGGGTGTGAATTTTTTTTATAGTGTGATGTTATCTAATTTGGTATGAAAATATTTGTTGAGTTCTCTGTTCGTAAGAAATCAACGACGATCATCGTAAAGCTCGATGACAAAAATCGAGTCTTACGTTAATAAATTATTTCCTTGAAAAACAATACTCTCGTGCCGCAATATAATACCCCGCGCGCGCGAGTCCCGCGAGAAGAGAGCTCGCTGCATATATAGGTATATATATATACGTATATAAAAACACGCGGGCGCATGGCACGAGGGAAAGAGATAGCGCTTGGCTGCGTATTATAGAGTAATGGGAGAAAGGAGTACGTAACCGTGTAGAACTATGCTATATATAGCCCGGGATGAGCAACTACTCGTAGCACAACACAACGCGCCGTATATAATACCCACGCCTCTTTAATGATAGCCATGCCACTATACGGCGAGACGCATAAGAGATGCACACCGCACGTACGTAGGAAGTCGCGCGTCGATGCGACTCGTGTGCGCCACTCACGCGCAGATTCTTTCCTTTGTTTATGCGCAGTACATCTATATCTATGCGACTTTCGATAAAGATTTAAGGTACACACGTGTGTGTATGTGTGCGCGCGCGCGGTTATATGGTTTTAGCTGCAGCCTGCCTGGCCCTGACCATGTTCATTATCCTTGATTCGAGGTAGATATGTCAATTGTTCTGCTATGTTCAGCAGTAAAAGCGAACCCTGGAAGCATTAGTCCCGCTTCATAAACTTCAGTGTCCGTCGTTGATACGAACCATATACGAGTCCTGCGCCGGGCGTCTTATCGACTTTTTATCAGATGTGCCACCATGCGCGCATCGTTAAAAATCAATCATACAGCATATTCGCGCGCGTAAAATAACTGAACCGAGATACGTAAAATTTTAATAATAATTTTCCTGAAAATTACGTAACGACGGATAGTTCAAGTTTTCTCCAGGCTGCTGCTACAGACTTTTGCGATATCATAACTCGGTGTACATATGGTCCGTCGCGTCGTGTCGCTACTGGACGAGAACGAAGTATATCGCACGTACGTCCGTGTGCTAATACCACACCTATAAGCACACACGCCGGTGCATATATAGATAATGACAACTTCCGTATTAACGCGCGGATAACTATCCCTTCGCCGCGCGCGCGTTACATCTTTCGGAAAAAGAGTCTCTCTCGAGCAGGCTGCTCCAAAGAGAGAGACTAGACGAATTTGCAACTCGAATTCACGAATGGGAGGAGTAGAACAGGCTAAAGTAGTACAGCGAGGACCACTGCAGCAGCAGCAGCAGCAGCAGCTCTTCCATAATGGCATTGCGTCAGGATTCACGTGTATAAGCTATGGCATTGTTTTGCCGATCTGATGAACTCCACCGGAAGCTTTACAGCATAGGTTGAGAGAGAAAGAGAGAGAGAGAGAGAGAGAGGTAGATACTTCTCGTTAACGCGAATCAGAGCCCCAGCTGTATATACGTATACATACCTGCTGCTGCTGCGCTGCAGCTCGTGCGGAGCGAGAGAATTACACTTGGCAGCGGCCCTCGCTCTTTCTCTCTATATATTCAGAGAGACAACTACAACTGCAGCAGCAGCAACAACAACAACAACTACAACAACAACATGACAGCACGAGGTGCTATATACGTGGGTATACGTCGGTGTGTGCATGTGTAGGCGTGAATCGAGAACGACGAGGCGTGGCTATTACATTCCCCGATTGTAAAGATCGACAGATTGATATAGTACGTAAAGGGCAGCCTGAGCCCGGCGCGCGAAAAGAGGAAACGTCATTGTTTCCGACTTGGCGCGCGATTAGTTCCTAGCTCTTCACGGATGACGATTAATTTTCTCCCGTTTACATATCCAATTTTGAGCTGGTACGTTGTTGTACGTGGGAATAATGGACCGTGTTACATCGTCCGATAGTCGCCATATTTCGAACGTTCGATGAGATAGAGAGAACAAAATAATAACCCACCTTGATTTCAATACAGTAGTGGCCTGGTACCAGAGTCGCTGCAGTGCCTGAAGCAAAGAAAAATTCAACATGTTCATTATCGGTAGTTCGGTACATAGATAATTTGGTTTATTATGGAAGCTATAAGATATTTTTTGTCGTTATTATGTATCGGGAAAAGTCGATAAGCATAAGGTTTTTGAAGTATCCGCGGAGAATCGGCTTTAACATTTCGTACTATACGTACAGTGGCGCAGGTTATTTATCCTGGAGGATATCACGTAATGAGTTGTATACAAGAGACGCTAATATACACACGTATACATACACAGAGAGATGCACACGCGCGGAGTTATGTGATATACTGCCGGAGCCTCATCGCGTATAAAAGCTTTTAGCGGCGCACTGTAGTTGCAGTTGTTGTCGCCGTCGTTGTCGTCCTGATGACAAAGGGAGAAACAGTATAATATCCAGAAGAAAATAAGCCAAGGCGCGCATACATATACACGAGGAGCTCTACTCGTATTATAATGCTAAAGGGGCGCCTACGAGAGATTATATGCATGCACTCGAGTCATCTTCGCGTTGCTCCGAATTCGTACATCTCTTTAGCTACTTTTGCCCGCTGTACATAAACCTATAACGGATCGTTTGAATACGAGCTCCTTTCGAATTCCGGACAAATATCGTCGAATTGTTCCTGCGCAGACGTTATCTGCGCGCATCTACACATAAATATTTTGGCGATTATCCCGCGCGTATATGAACTCATGTGGATACTTCGGCGAGCTCTAAATCGTCGTGATGCATGATGCCCAACTTTCACCTATAACATCGTTCACCTACTTCGAGCACAGTTTGTAGCTTCTCTCGAGAGTATAAATGTGCGATGCCGCGTTTTTTTCATGTTTGCTCAGCAGATATCGATAAACGAAAATCGATCAAATCGTACTTACTACGGGCAGATCTCGCTCGATTGCGTTTCCGTGAGAGAAGATTTATCTCCTCGTATAGTTGTGTACAAACGTAGCTCGTTTTCAAGATCGTTTACACCTTATTATTTATGAAAGAAAAGCAATTGAAATGTTTTTTTTTCTCTCCATTTTTGACGAGTATTTTCCTGAGTTGGCAAAACACAGAGATAGTGAGTAGCCTAGTATAGAAAACGGAAATATTTATATCAGCGAGACAGAGACACACACATTTGCATTCGCTCGACTGCTGCCCATGTGTCACACAGTCGACGACCCTTCTGCTACACACCGCTGCTGCTGCTGCTGCCATATACGCGTGAGAGGGAAAAGAAAATATATATACGTGAATTTTCAACCCTTCGTTTTTTTGTTTTTTTTTGTTTTTTTTTGTTTTTTGGGTAAAACTGAAACGTGTGACACAGTTGCTGCTGCCACCGATGTTACAGCACGTGCTCGCATAGCGAAAACGTCTATTTCAGATGTTTTCCTTGATTTGCATACACACGAGGCGGAAACAGCCAGCAGCAGGTACGACATAAAACCTTTACAGCGAGCCCTCATAAATAGTGCATTTCATCGTCCCGATTGAAGTGTAAATATGCTGTGGCGCGATGATATTGGGTGTACGCGTACTGCGCTGAATTCGTCGCAGCGAGTAAATTGCTCGTTGGATATGAATAAAACTCGAGGCTAGGCCAGGTCTAATCCAAAATGATATATTCGCGCATTGTGTTCATTACGAAGCTCACTCTTTCTCTCTGATGCTGCTGCTGCTACCGCTGCATCGGGAAGAGGCAATTTTCATAAATCTCTTACTCCGCGTAAATCAAGCGCGCGCATTGTCGCGCGCTTTGACGCACACGCTACTCGACGAAATGAAAAATAAAAAAGCTCGCGAATGAGCCTCTCACTCGCTGCGAAGCACACCCCTCGCGCGTCAATCTTTATTATAATAAAAAAAGGTGATTAATCTTCAGACAGAGAGAGATAGGGGCAATCAAAGCGCTCATGCGCGTATACGCGCATAGTCTGCCGCTGACACTTGATAGTTTCGTACATATATAGACGGCACTCTCGAGGGCTCGCGTCGCCACCACCGAGATGATGATCTGAACAATGAAAATCGGGGGCAACCCGACTGCCGACTGCATTATATACCTATCGACAGGCACGCTGCGGGAAAATCAATCGTGTGTCAAGGTGCAGCGAAGCAGTCGATCGTCTATACACACACACACGCCCGCACTCGCGCGCACACACATAAAGTGAAAACGACGTTGACAATTCGCGTCAAAGTTGAGAGAACGAGCTGTTTTCGATATACGCGATCTGTAAGTGCCCTGCAATACGAATTTATGAGCAATGCTTTGAAAAAATCTTTACCAGCCGAAGCTGAAATATGATTACTCGTTCCGTGTCTAACATTTTCAAAAATATTTGAAATTATTCTCTGATTCTCTTTGGCGTTGAGACTTGGAATACCCAAAGAAAAATCTACTTGGATTCGGAAAAGTGACATTTAAATGATGTCATTTTAGGTAATTGTTAAACTATAAATGCGTAAATTCAAATAGTTTTCATTCAACGATCATTATCTTAACGGAAAGATGTTATGGAACAAAAAGTGCTAAAAATCTTTCAAAGACTACGTCGGAATTTTTCCAGAATTTTTTGCATCATTTTAGGATTTTAAGTATCGCACCAGATTTGGAATAATTGTTAAGTATTAAATTTTTCCGTTAATTTGATGGTTTTCGAGAAACAAATAGAGATAATTTTTATGGGGCTACAGGTAGCTCTTTTTCAGTACATGCCGTGCCCCATAGAATCCTTTTTTAATTTCTCATTCTTCCATAATCGACGATCAGTGATAGAAAAATTTGTAAATATTTTAATATTACATTTAAGCTGCAAAGAAAAATTGACAAAGGAAACAGAGCTGTATTCGTTCCGTTTGTTTACGTCGTGCGTTGGATACGAGACCTCTCGGTGTGTAGCCCGGCACAGTGTTTTGACGTCCCATACCTTAAAGTACACCGCAAGGGCAGTGGTGCTGAGCCGATCGAGCATAAGCTGGCTCTCTTTGCATATAGGTATAGTTTTTCGAGTATAGCGAGCACACAGCTCCGTGATCTTCGCCAGTTTTCTCGTGTAGTTAGTGCGATCGGAAAAATAAATTATTATCGAAATCTTGAGTACAAAAAATGGAAGCCAATGATATACTTCATTGTGCAGTCAGGTAATTCTTATTTTACAAGAATGAAATTAAAAACGTATCATAACAAAATACTCGATCTAATTGACGTTATTTTAGAGTGAAAGAGGAGCCTAGAGATGAGTCAATTATTAAAAATGATCGTGATATGATTGATGAGAAACCCGATCTTGAAAACATTCAACTTTTATCATTTTCACGAGGAAATTCCGTAAGTGTTGATAATTAATTATATGTAACACGTATTATAGTTGTTATTTTAATGAAAATTTTTATGTAGCATTCGTTGTTCGACAGACTTTTCGAAAATATGAACAAAATCATGAAACTGAATTTGAAAACGAAGTGGAAATAGTCGTTGAATGTGAAGATGTCAAGCTCAAAATGTATTTGCCGTCATTTGAAAAAATTGATGACTATTCTTCAAACCACTTGGAGAATGTGAAGAATTGCAACAATTTTAAAACTCAGAATATTATTAAACTAGAAAGCGTGGGTGAAGTGAAGCATGACATTTTCGGTGACACTACAGAAGAATTAAAGTTGAATTTCGACGGTGAGCTAGTCGAACAAAATAAAAAAAAAGAATTACAAAAAAGTTTAACAATCAACATAATTCCGAAAGTCACATTGGTACAGTGCATAATGATACTACCCATGCATGTCAAATGTGCGAAAAGACATTCACAAGAAAAAGTTATATCCAGACTTTTATTTTTTATGTAAAAACAACGATTAAATTAAAAAAAAAAAAAACAATAAATTTTTTGTACTAAATGAAGCAAATTAATAATAATAAAGCTAATAAAATGTCAAAATCCTTGAGTTTATATCAATTGTTGAATAAAATGTTTGCTGTTTCTGGGACCACAGTGAACAATCATCAATGCCCACTAGACACTTTTGACAACAAAAATCTCAATAGCAATTTAGTCTCGAATTTTTCTGATTTTTTAATAGAATTTTTTATATACGTGTGCCCTTTGATAATGAGCAGGCGTAAAAACAGTATCAACCCAGCTTTTTTTTTTAATTTTTAGGTACTCCGAGGAAAGAGCACGTCTTTGTATCGGGCGCACGTCGATAAAAATATTAATTGTATACTTTCCCTCGGATTCGTATGTGTACGTCAACGCTTCTTTTGAAAATCACATCTTTCAATGAGGGATAAAAAGTATTACCATATTGCGAGTCATCGTCTGTCAGAAAAGCGCGCTCGACATTGATAAACGTAAGTTGCATGTGCGAGTACATCCGAAATATATTATATCCACGAGGACGAGGACGACGACGATACTCTGCATGTAACAATGAGCTTGAGCGACGTATGTCGACGTGCATGTGTATCCTCTGCACGTGACAATTTGAATTCGCAAACATGTCCGAGTCTCGTGCGGCATTATACCAGCAGCTGTCCGTCCGCGACTCTATCTGTAATGCACTTTTTCCGTCGTTGCGATGGCGGATATTTTGTCATTGCGAACGGCGTGTATCACTTCAGCGGCACATCTTCTCATCGTTGATTTTATATACCCAACGCAGTTTCGCGATCTTATTACGATTACATCGATAACCTTTTACAATCGATTTCAAAATCGTCGAACCCAAGTGTGTAGGTACACGCTTACGTGCGCATATATAAATACTATTTCAATATTGCAGCTCGCACTTGAGAATCTTCGCTCTGTATTTACATACTGTACTACTGCTGCAAGGCTCAGAGTCAAGGCAATTGCGATACATCTTTTCACCTACATTAGAATCCATAACGAATATAACGTTCGCCACATGCGGCGAACTAAGGGCAACATTTCGGTTGACGTTCTCTCTCTCTCTCTCTCTCTTCCCCGAACGATTTTTACCGAGCTTCCATTGCATT